GGCCACAAGTTGTTGGAGAGTAGGTTTAGATTAGACATCCATAAGAACTACTTCACAGTTAGGGCGGCTAGGATCTGGACCCAAATTCCAGGGGAAGTGGTGCTGGCTCCTACCCTGGGGGTCTTTAAGAAGCGGCTCGATGCCTACCTGGCTGGGGTCATTTGAGCCCAGTTTTCCTCCTGCCCAGGCAGGGGGTCGGACTTGAAGATCTACAAGGTCCCTTCCAACCCTACTTCTATGATTCTATGAAGAATGAACTAACAAACACCAATCTGACATCAGTCCCAGAAAAATGCACAAGCCTGTGGCAGAACATTTTAACCTACCAATGGACATTCATTGCTGACCTCAGGGTAGCTATACTTAGACAACAAAACTTAAATGAACTCGAATGAGAAACTGTGGAACAAAAAATTCATCCATACTAGAGTGCGGTAAGAATGGTCTAAACCACTAGCACCCATGCTTTTAGCCCCACGAGGCAAATTAATGGTATGGGGCTGGATCAGGCCCTGGGGTTCCCACGCCATGCCTGCATGATGTGATCATGTCCCATGCCACTCTGTGTACCTGATCCAGCCTGCAAAGCCCTGGCCCAGGACTTTCCTAAGATCTGTGGGGAGACCTACAGGCTAGGGGTTGAGCACTCCTGATCTAAACCAAGACTATGAATTATAATTCCATTACCTGAATGATCTTTTATGACCCCATTGTCTTTATGGGATTATTACTTGTTTGCATCTCCCAAAACTGCCTGCCCTTCTCCCTCTCCCCACCTCTTGTCTCTTTCCTTCTGTATTCAAATCGCTTTGCTTGATACACCCTTTCATAGCAACTGATGAAGTAAACTAGGGCTCATGAAAGTTCATGCTGTATCTCTGTGATTTACTTAGTCTATAAGGTACAAATCTACCCTGCCTTCTGCACTGTTTCACTGGATTTTTTTCTAAAATGTTACCTGAATCACAGAGTGGTACATTTCAAATAAAAAAAATGTAAAGCCATTAAAACTGCAAGAAACAAGCAAAAAGGTATCTGTACCTGAAAATGGATCCAGCCATCAACAGACAGGAGGCATTCACGGTGCTGAACTTCTATGTCCCCACCAAAAAGCAAAACTGGAAAGGGGGAAATTAAAGTCGTCTCTCGCAAGTATATCCTGGCATATCTTATCTGTGTATAAAACACAAACATGTTTCAAAGCCACAGCAGGAACAGGAACGTTGTTTTTATAAAACAAAAAGATTTTGTTCATTATATATATTCATTTATGTAGGTATTATTCATTTATGTTACTAGATAGTGAATGAATAGAGCCTATGCCCAGTCATCTAACCTATATAATGTAGACTATGTAGCATTTATTAGTCTAAGGCAGGAATAGCTGATCCAGCCACTGGGAGATTTTTTTTCCTACTCCTCAATACACAGGTGGAAGACTTTTAAGGATGGCCAGATTAAAAAACAGACCACAATTATGCTGAGATTATAAACAAAAGCTTTAAAAAGTTTATAGTAGATTATACAAAGCCTAGGGAAATGCAGCTGAGCATACAGTGTCCAAAGCGTGATCATATTTGTTGCACTGTGAAACTGTCAGCTGATACAATCAGAAAAAATCAGTTCAATGCATATATATTTATACATGGATGCTGCCTGTGCACAATTATATGAGTTTCTTTTCAGTCAAGTTAGAGTTAATGTTGCTTGCCAAAACTAGTTTCCTGATGCAGTAAACACCTTCCATTCAAAACTTATGAGTACTTATACAGTGAAGAATTCTGACACTCATGATCAAGTTTTTCCTTTTAGAATTTAGGACTATTAATTGTAAAGCAGTCATAATAGACTCCTCTAATCTCTGAACAAGTGGGAGGTCTACACAATAGTGTCACATTACAGACCTGTTACTGTAAAGATTAAAAGCAGTACTTCATATGACAAAAGATTATCCACTAATACTTACTACCTTCCAACTGTGCTTTAAAGCTTGATTTATCTTCCATTTCTTATTGATAAAACATTCTCTTCCCCTTCCCTTCACATCTATTTCTTCCAATAACTATTTTTGCTTTTGCCAAGAAATTTTCTTTTTATTTTGGCAGTTCTTCTGCTTCTTTAATATATTGCAAGCTCCTTGGGGCAGGAAGTATTGTTTGCAATGCCTGAATAGTACTTTTCATATGTGCTGCATGTCTTTTAAGTTAGCAAGTACCTCAGAGGAAGGCCTAAGTAGCAATTATTAAATGGGCTATTAGTAACTGCCCAAAGGTCTGTACCAGTGCTTTGAAATACAAGTAAACTTATAAAAAGGAGTGATTTGTGTATTTTAACAGTAATACTATGCTGAATTTTTCTAACCAATACTAGAAGATAGGCAAGTGAGAAAGATTAAAAAAATCTTTGTTAATGTGACCATGCAGTAAAGAAAGAAAAGCAGGAAAGTTACAGTAGTGCTGAGGTGATGTTATTACTGTGATGGTGCAGGAAATATGCAAGAGGCAGGAATTCTTGTGGGTGGTTATCTTTTATTGGACAAAAATCACATGGTTAGGATAGACTTAGTAAAGTTATAGTAATTCCAGGCCAGTGAGGATAAAAAATCCTCCCTCAGAAACTGCAGTTTCACAAGAACATGTATTTTGGCAAGTTGGAACCTTCCAAAACTACAGATGAACTACAGATGAACTAGTTATAGGCTGGTTCCTAGTAGCGCCAGAAAGGCAAAGCAATAGAAACCAATCAATCCTAAAATGTTTGTTATGGTAAATGGTATGTAGCCAAGGGCTTGAATACAGAAAAAAACAGGAGAGAACACAGGAATGACCAGAAAGGGTATACTGCCACCACTACCCCATTTGCCCCACACCAGTCCTCCAGCCAGCGAGGGTACAATAGGTGGGAACCGGTGTTCTGGTAAAACAGACAGCCAGATACAAAAACATATCCCTAGTGCCTATCTTGTGCTTTAATGTGAACAATAAATTGGCCCTTCTAAGTTGCCAACAATGTACTTGAGATCCAGGTAACAAAGCACTGATGACTATTAGAAGTTTAAGATGAACTGGACTGCCAATACTTCATCTGATGATCCAGTGTCCACCAATCCTGCCCAATGAAATTTACTCAAATGACCAAACATGTTCAAGGTTTTCATCTAATTGCTTCCATTTGATAAGACTGATACAAATGCAACATCCTTACCTTTTCCTGATACAGAAGCCATCCATATGTCTGCAAATCTCTGTTTACTGAGGAGGGATGCACTTGCGCTTTTCCTTGCGCAGTTTCTACCATACATGACAATTTTTCGGTGACATCTACAGACTTTGTATACATTATCTTCCCCACGTTGTCGTATAACCCTGCAGTCAGCACAGATTTAAGAAGGGCAATTTCTTGAAGAGAAAGGGTTTGTGTGGATCCATTTCCATCCCATCCATGCTTAGGTGCAGGTGTTGCAAAACCAGCAGTCCTGACTACTTTTATTAGCTCTTGTTTCACATCCTGAAATTAGTTTTCATCAAAAGAGAAAAAAAACACTGATTTTAAGAAAAGGACATGCTCAAGCCCGCCAGCACACACAGACTCCTCCATGACTATTCCCAATAGAGAGAAAAAAAGGAAAAGAAATCTAGACTCATGTAAAAAATAAAATTAGCCACATCTGCACTAATCTTAGACTCTTTACTGGAGGGGAAACCAAATAAATAAGGCTTCCAGGACTCAAGCATTACAGAATGTAAACAAGTGCCTTCATTCTCCTAGGTATCTGGGAAGTAAATTGACAGCACAGGATACATGTATTTACATCACATATTCCCTTTTTTGTCACTCAGGTCTTAGTTACCTATCCTAAGTTGGAAAGCGGAATTGGCGCTTTAAAAATAAAATACATTTAAATGACTCAGGATTACAGACCATCTTCCAAAATTGAGAGAACCACAAGTACTTTAGAATTGCAGTTAAGTTATACAACCTAACTACATATTTTATTTTCTTTGTCATACAATAATTTGATTTGCAAATTATTGTGCGGTAGAAATGGAGAAGCATGAACCCTTGCCACAGCAACTAGCTACAAAGATGTATACTAATAAAATGTGCTTTAAAGGTGAAAGGGTAGATTTAGCCAATATGAATAAAAAAGAAGTCTGTATGTCTTCACTGACTCCTAACATTCTCTATGTCCTTATTTGTTACCTCATCTGCATACTAACATGCCTACTACTGTGTATCATGAATTTAAAGATGTATATTGAGTTTGACAGAAATTTAAGCTATCCTTTCCAGTGCAAAAGCTGCATGGTTAGTACCTCCAGAGTTAACAGTGAGGTCCGGTTAAGGAAATTTCTTCTGCAGTAAGTCATTTCAGTACGATAACCTCCTTCTTGACGTGCTTTTTTCCACCTGTAAAAAAACAACCTGTCTTACTACAGTTATGAGAAACACTGCTGTCTAGCAAGGAAGTGACAAGTAAATAGGAGTCAGACATTTAAAAAGACAATGCTGCCTTATATCAAACACCATCATAATACTAAAAATAATTTGGGGAATTGGTTAGAATCTGCAATATGGCTGCTGACAGATGTGAAAAACACAAAACAAGCAAAGCAAAAAACCAAAACAACATGCTTTACCAGAAGCAGCAGCACATTAGTTCAACCCAGCTCTACAGCGCCTGTACAGATTGGGCGCTTCAGCGGGGCTTTCTGGCACTTTTATCTAATAGTTGATTCTATCAGCTAAGTGCCAAAAAAGCCCCGCAAAAGTGCCCAATCTATACAAATGCTGGGCGACCCAGGTCTAACAAACATGCTTTTTCTGGGCATGTGCTGTGCTTGACGCAGGGGGGTGCCAAGTTTAAAGTGAAGCACTGTGGTTTTTTGTTTTTTTTCCATGTCTGCAAGCAGCCTGCTAGTCTGTTAAAGAGCAAGAGAGGATATGCATTTAAGACCATGTAAAAACATGCATGCCCATGAGCAAAGGTGGTTTCTCTTTCAATTGTACAGATAATTGACAGATGCTTGTAAGCTCTGCTGGCTGTAGGTAGAACAACCTGGGTCTGGATCAAAGTTAAGGCAACTATAACCTTCACAGTTAACCTTTTTAAAAAGAAAAAGAATAGATGTAGCTCAGTACAGTGTAGCTAATGAATGTAGCTCAGTACAGTCGAGTTCAGTACAAGAACTAATGAAACACCTGAGCCAGATGCAGTACATTTCTGAATTGCTTGTCACAGTGTCATTAGGAAGTGTAGCAAATAACCAACTAAGCCATTTATGAATCCCTGTGCAATACAGTACTTAACATCATTTTTAATATTCAAAAAAGTAGTTTACAGATATAAAACAATTTCAGGTCCCATTTTTAAATATGATCTTTAAATGATTAAAAGTTGTCAACACAAGTTAACAGTTGAAAAGTTCTCTGATTAGTTTTAGTATTTTTTTTAAAAGATTACTTACCCGAGATATGCATTGTAGATTGTAAGATGGTCTGAGTTTGCCAATGCCAGAGAAGACTTTGCAAGATCTGCTTCGTCTTTTCTACCAATTGGTGTGGTAAATGGGGATTTTTCTGTCATTACGGCAGCTAAAGTTGCCTGTAGTCACCCGCAACAATTTAAAGTATAAATAATAGAGTAAATACAATTAAAATTAGGATTGGGTAAAAAATTGTAACAGATTCTGCAGACAGACTAAGCAAGAGCTGCTCAAGTGTAATTTCTTTTACATCTGTACATCTTCCACCTCTTCTGTTTTAACTCAAAAGTTAGTGATGTAGTTATATACAAGTAGTGCAGACAGGCATTTTGATAAATAGATTAAAACACTGGTAAATTTAATTCCTGAATCTTTAAGGGTCCTTGCCTCCCAAATAAAGAATGGGATGCCATTTTATCTAGGGAAACTGAGATTATGGTAATGAAGCTCCCAGCTGAACACTCACTTTTTAAAGGTTCAGGACATGCAACGAACCTGAGACTAGGGGGACACTCCTGGCTGTGTCCCAGGCCCTGGGGCTGCCTCATGCCGGATATCTATGCTTAGCTGAATATGGGGATCTGTCATGGGTCAGCCCTGACATGGTACATATTCAATTTTAGGCATGATGCAAACAAGCCAAAAAGACATTACGCATAATGTGTGGGATATCTTTGTGGTCCACTTGCTATATTATCATGCCATAAATTGGTTTTAACGTGTAGCCAGGTTACTATTTGTGGTGTGATTAACACATTAATCTGTTTTAATGTAATGTGTGCTAAATGCCCTAAGACTAAGTTCATGTACTGCACTGATGGGGAAGAAATAGATGTGGGGCTCCTGAGGCAGCTCTCAGAGACCATAAAAGCTAAAGAGGTGGTAGTCATGGGGGACCTAAACTACCCAGATATCTGCTGGGGGAGACAGACAGCAAAGTCCCACCGCTCACGCAGGTTTCTAACCTGTGTACAGGACCTCCACCTGACACAGGAGGTACATGGTCCCACTAGGGGGAATGCCATACTGGATCTGGTATCGGCAACGGGGGATGACATGGTAGGGGACCTACAGATTGGTAGCCATCTGGGGGACAGTGATCACCTAATAACAGAATTCACCATAAGACGTCGAGGGGGTAAGGTAACTAGTAGGGTGAAAGTACTAGACTTAAGGAAAGCTGATTTAAATGAATTGAGGCGATTAGTCAAGGACGCACTGCAGAGTAGGAGTTTTGAAATGATGGGAGCCCAAGAAGGGTGGCTGTGCCTTAAGGAAACGATCCTTTGGGCACAAAGCAAGACGATCCCCATGCGGGGTAAAAGAAGGAAAGGGGCCAGGAGGCTTCCCTGGCTGACCGCAGAAACCCAGGGCAGCCTAAGGGCCAAAAGGGGAGCACACAAAAAGTGGAAACAAGGAGAGATCACCAAAGACGAATATACCTCCTCTGCTCGCGCTTGTAGGGAGGCAGTTAGACGGGCCAAAGCTACCATGGAGCTGAGGATGGTATCCCAAGTAAAGGACAACAAGAAATTGTTTTTTAGATATATAGGGAGTAAAAGGAAGGCCCAGGGAGGAATAGGACCCCTGCTAAATGGGCAGAAACAATTGGTGACGGACAG